CCAGCAGTGGTGGGACCCCCAGGCTCCCACAGCCCATCCCTGGTGTGAGCAATGGGGAGCAGGGCACGGGCAAACACAGCTTCCCCTGACTCCACACAGCCAGCTTCTGGTACTGACATGGTCAGGGAGACAAGGATAGCACCAGGACAGGGCAGGAACCTGCACTCCTGCCAAGAGGCCAGTGCCAGAGCAGCTGGCATCTCCTGCCACTTTGCTGTGCCACCAGTGCTGTGACGAGCCCACTTCCCTGCAGGCTGGTGGGGATCAACTGCAGCACTGACCCCATCCCCTGAGCAAAGCATCCCTCAGCAGCTCCCTCTCAGCAAAACCCACCTCATCCCCTCTGCTGCAGGGCAGGTTCTGCCTGCATCTCCTTCCCCCTTTCTCCAGACATGGAAAGCTACTGCAAAATGCATTATTTGCACATCTACTTCAGCAGTGTGCTTGTGGGGAGGATGCAGGGAGTGTGATACAGTCCTCCCAGTCACTTTTCCACCTGCCTGGTATTTAGGGTGAAAAGATGATCAGGCTTGTAAAATACAATCCACTACCTGATGACTTGTAAAGCAGTAAAACAGAGGTAATGAGTTTTTCATGTCCTTGCACAGTGAAATTCTACCCACAAACATAAAATTTTTCAGGTTACAGGCAGCAAGATTTCAAACCCATCTGTAGGTGAGTTGGCTGGGTGTGCTGGGACAAGTTACAGAGAGCCCAGATGAGCATCCTGCACATGTTGGGAGCACAGAGGCCTTTCAGACACTGGTAGGACGTCATCCATTAAAATGTACTTTGGTGTCATCTGATATCAAGGTGTAAGAAATATTACAGCCTCCAACCCATGAGTCCACACCCTGCTCCATGGACAAGAGCTCTGGTGGCATTGGAAAGGCACAAACCTCCTCAATGTTCCCAAACTGCATCCAAAATGCCACACGAAGACCTTCAGTGTACCACCAGAGCAGGGCCAGGAGAAGCCCGAGCCATCCCCTGTCCCCAAAGGTCACACAGTCCCTCCCAGGGGAGCTCCAGCACAAAGCCCCTTCACTTCCACCTCACCTAAAGATTATCAATCCAAAAGATAGACAGAGGCCAGATTCTCACTACAGGTCCTGCCTCTGTTGGTAAATATTAGCAAAGCCAACCCCAGGTCACTGTCATCAGCCTGCTCAAGTACTCTGGGAAGAAGCAAAATTTGGGATGAGCAGGAACTGCCTGTTTCAGCCCTTTTTCCATGCAATGTCTCAAGCAGGATATATGTGATATATATGGTATATATATTTTCTGCCACTATATTTGGGGTTGCAGTGGCTATTCCTATTTTATCAGTCAGTAGGACTCCAATTGACTGGATGCAGCCATAAAAGGTAAAAAAGCCCCAGCAGGCAGTGGTAACACCATTAAATATTGGTCCTGACAATGGTAAATTGGGTTTAAAAGTTTGGAACAGAGTGCCAAGAGAGGAGCCTTTTTCCTGAACCAAGGAATAACATAAAGCCCCACTTTCTCCCCTATGTGACTTTTGTCATTATCATCTTTTCTGATTCTTACAAAGCAAACCTAATTAGGAAGCTCTCTCATTAGTCTTCCAGAAAAATTAGCACAGCTTATGCTAATTACTCCTGTAAAATTTAATAAACTCGTTGAAATGGGAATAGTCTAATGAGGTTTTATTTATTGAACTAAGATAACTGTAAGGAAAAAGGTTAGGATACCAGGATATCCAGAGTGGTAATAAAACCACAATTTATTCAATTTCTTCACAGGAATTTTATTGCGAACCTTTTAAATTCAAATATGAGTTACAATTTGAAAGTTAAATCAATCTAGAATTTAATTTAATAACAGGAAGTGCTCTGTGTTTTCTTTAAGTGTGATTACAATACAGCCCTGCCACTGCACCCGTATGAGGAATTGTGCATTTGTATTGTGACAATAATACCCCTTTTAAAATGAGTTCCTGTTCATCAGATCTTCATCTCAACACATGTAACTGGATTAGCAATAAAATATACAGGCTATGCTAAGAAGATGATACAGACACACACAGGTTTCCAAGAAACTTCCTTGGGATGACTGCTCTGTAATCATAATAAACTAATTTTGTTCTCCAGAGAAAATTTAAATCACTGTTTTATAAGAGTATAAATTTCTTTAGGTCTCTTTCACTGCTGTATCTGCTGCTACTATAATAGAGCAAAGTATAAAACAATTTTATACAGAATAAAGTCATATCCCTTTTCAAACACAGCTACAGACTTTCTTTCTTAAAACCCACATTTTCATTAAAGAGAAATTTACAATTTGATTTCACATATATCCAGGGTTTGAAGGAGAATACAACACATGTAACTTTGAAGTTGCCAAAGAGCCTTTTCTCCAAGTTCACCAAACCACCACAAAGCCAGAGCCCTCTCTATCCCAAGTGTCTCCAGCCTCATCAAAGAGAATTAATCAATCCCAAATAGTACTCCAACTTGTCAGAAGAGGATAACATTTCCATGTAAGTACATATGTCAAAAATCCCATGGATAGAGTCTATGTTAAACTCTATGTTAGGTCAGGGTCTGAGGATTCACAAGATTTGATGCAAGAGTTAGATTAAATCCATAGGCAAAGACTTGATCAGAGCATCAGGCATGTGGGAGTGCTTTAGCCCAAATGGTAAATGAGTTCTCTAAGCTCAGTGCAAATAAAAATAACTAAATATGGCTTTGCATATCAATTGACATAATAGTTAAAAACTGTGTGCATGGAGAAGTGACAATGGAGCACAAGCAAACACATGGTCTGACTTCTGCAGGCATTTTAATCACAGAACAATTTTAAAGGACTCGTTTTCAGGTAAAAAGGCTCTGTATAAATCACTTCATCCTTTCCAAACCAAAGGGGACAAGAAAAATGAATAGGATAAATGTCACAAGAAACATCACTAAAGCTACTAACTGTATAAAGCACATACTTGCTTGGCCTAAATTGTTTGAACTAGCCCCAGCCAAGAAAAGGTTTTAAGTACCCTACTGGGACAGATGCGAAGCGGCAACAATAGAAGCCACACTAATGCAATCCAGGTAACACAATCCTGTTTCAAAAACACAGGGAGGGCTAATTACAGTACTGCTGAGTCAAATTTCTTATGCCATTGCAACCCACAGGAACAGGTCAAAATCAAGTGTTATTCAAACCACAGTCATATCAACCTCCTGTATCAAAGTCACAATTTAAAACCAAGTGAAGAACTTAAAAGCTTAACCCATTCACAAGCCAAGTGTGATTCAGTGCGGGTGGCAAGGCAGGGTTTGTATTATCAGCTTGGAATTGTGTTTACCTTGCATTTTAAGAACAAACTTCAAAATTGGTAACTATTGCATCAATTCATGTAAAGACTGAGATATGGATCACTGCTAGGAAGCTAAAGCTGGTTTTTTTTTCTGTACCTATTTTCCTCATTTTGCAGGAAACATGTAACAGACAGCATCTCTGGCTTTCAAAATTTAAAATTATTTGCAACTGGCAGTTTTGCATACTAGATAGTTAAACAAAATATTTCTGTAAACCTGCCATTAGCATCTTAACATCTCACTTTCCAGTACAATGAAAAATTCATGTGAATTTGGTAGCTTTCATGTTGCTGAAAATGCCACTCTAACACCATGTTTATAGCGTTCAGCTCTGCAGCATGCTTATAAAACACAGCTCTCTACAGGTTTCACTGGGGGGCTTTCCCCCACACACACTTCCTCTGGTGCTACCTGATGCTCAGAGAAGATGAAAATATGCCTAGTTAAAATAGATAGGGATATCTTCTGAGATTTAAACATTCTCAGGATGACTTATTACAGCTAATCAAAACATCTGCTATAAGCACCCAATAAAAGCACTTTCCTACCCAGCCCATGCAAGAGCTGGGAGCTGGGATGAGCACAAGGCTCTGGACTGCTCTCCAGTGGAGCCCCCAACACATCAAACCCACCTCACCTTTCATAAAATGGATGCTCTGGAATGGAAGATGCTATGAACTTCATTCAGCAAACATAATTCAGACAGCAATGCAAGGAGAGGCAAATGCTCTGTGCCCTCATCCCTGTGTGTTTGGGGTCCCTCTGTTCACAGCTCAGGGCAGGGTGTTGCTCTCCCCAGCCCTGACAGACTCTTTTGGTGCTTGGTGGCCCTTTAACTCCTCTGGAGTAATGCTGCACAATACCCTGGCTATCCCACACGGCTTTGGACAACATATTTGGACAATAAAAATGTAAAAACGGTTCTTTGGCTACCATTTTGCATAATTGGCAAGCTGCAGAAACTACACATGGCTCAGAACAACAGGAATAGATGTATTGTACTACAATGATTTACTCAGTGATGTCAGATTAGCAATATGGATCTGTTTAAAAACACAATAATTAAGACAGGCAAAAATGAATTAATCAACTGACAATACAGTCAAAATAGTATTCCAACCAAAGAAAATAAGAGGAGGGAAAAAAACCTTACATTGCAGATCTATTTTCTTAACTGTTTTTATGCATAAATAAAAGCCTTAAAATGTAGATGGATTGCATCCAACAGAACTACAGTAGCTAAGTGATAATGATTCAAACATTTTTCAAATAAAAGTTAAATATTTATAAGCACCCAACCACATTTCATAAATCACAAACTATTATTATTTTATTCCTGAAGCTTCCCTGGCATAGCATGTGAATTGAGTCACAGAAAGTCAGAGAGAAAAATCTCCTCTTTATGCACATGAATCAGTTACAAGAGCTGGAGCTCTCCACAGAGCAGGGCGCTCCAGTATCCCTACATTTTCCCACATATGGCCCTTCCAAGGCAATCACAACTGCAAAGCACAACCAATTCTGTATCAAAAAACCCCAAAATTTCATCCGCAGAGCCTCCTAATTCTTCCCCATTAGCAACACGGGGCAGGTGTTTCATTATAATGAGGAGAGGGAGGAAGGAAAAAAAAAATGGAAGGAAACAATAGCAGTCCTTACCTGTCAATTATCACTGGATCTGATGGAGTCTCATTTCTGTTGCCACAGCTTTTCTTGTCACAACAGCGGCTACAGAGCAAAAGCGAAAGGATTTAGTGCGACCATTACACTGTAAAATCATCATTACGAACATGTTGGGTTCAAATTGCCGGCTCGAGTTACCCTGCCGGCCCTGCCTGCAAATCAGTCAAATGCACTGGGTCACATATGGGTTAATTACGATGTTTAACTTCTTGCACAGCTGGTTAGCAACGGAAAATATAAAAAGAGAGGGGTTTTGCCCCTTTCACAAATAATAATTCAAGGATCGCCCGAAACAGGGAGAGCTGCCTATTTGTAGCTTCTTTTCCGCGGGGTTTAACAGTTGTCCCGCAGACGCTGGCACACAAAATAAGGCAGATTTTTCCCTGCTGAGCCTGGTTTTTACATTTGCTTAACGCTTGTGTTACACATCCACAAGATATTCCTGCTTCCACACAATTCCCAGCTACTGGCAAACCTCCCCCCAAACTCCGAAAGCACAATTATTCTCCCTCTAAGAAACGCTGGTGTTAATGGGGGAGCTGAAATGCAAGCAGCAGCAGCGGCTTTTTATGCTCGAGCGCGCCTGTTTCCCCAAGTTTTCCGAGCATGTTAATGATCACTAATGCCACGGAGAGCTCTGCTCCGGTGGCTGCTGCCCTGCGTCAGGTCAGATACAAAGCAGGCATGTGAAATACAAGCTCTGTCTCCCAAAGCTCTGCTCCATGGCTGACCTCGAGGCTGGGATTCTTTTTTGAGCTAAGGTGGCTCATTGTTTCCTCAGAGAAGTTAAGTTAGTGGTTTTTGGTGATTCCTTGTCAAGGGTTGTTTGTTGGTAAGGAGGCATAAATAAATTGCAGGTGAGTTTGTAGGTGAGGTACATGTTCCTGCTCCAGGTGGGAATCCCTCCTGGTGCCTCTGGAGCTGCCCTGCTCTTCCCACAGGCCCATCTAAACCCACGAGACCAAATCACAGCCACAAAGGTCAGCAAAGCCTTTAGATTTCACCCACCCACTCACCCCAGGGAGGAAACCCCCATCTCGCAAGGAAAGATCCTGTTTGTTGATGTCCCTTAACAGAAAGTCCCCCATTGAAGTCAAGGAGTCAAGAAATAATAATAAAAAAACCCAAGAATCTCCTGACTTTCCCAAGTCCTTCTTCGTCCCCAAGGACCTGGTGGACAAAGCCTGGGCAGCTGCAGGGACCCCAACCCACGATGGCACCAAGTGTCAGGCAATGAGGAGTGAGGACCACCCTGGCTGCTGTCCCTGGCCAGACCTGAGCACATCTCAGGTTCAATAAACATCCTGGTCAGCCTCAACCACACACAACCAAATCTTTGGAAACCACTTCGTTGGTTCCCAGTGGCATCCCAGGGACCTGCACCTCGCCTGTGTTTCAGCAGCTGTAAGGAGGGACCACTGCTCACTCTCCCTCTCAGATGAACTATTTTCCTTTCCCCAGAAGGTGGAAGAACATCAGGGCAGGAAGAAGCCCTCAGAAGTGCCATGCTATATAAATAGCCTTGTTGGGACTATGACAAAGCTTCTCTTGTGTTGCTGAACAATAGAGTGAATAATATACAGTTACCCACCAAGATTAGCAATAAAGCAACTAACCACACTAAAGATAACAAAAAAGGGGCCTTTTACAAAAACAGCCTGTTTAAACATAGCTTTAAAAAAATATAATAATTTTGTTTTCAAAGAGAGGAAAATACATAATTCTTTTCACCGCAAAAAGCTTCAAGGCAACTATTCAGGGCTGAAACTTTTCACAGTTAACACATGTGCGGTATCTTCATTTCAGTGGAAGTTACATTGTTTGGGATTGCCAAAAAAAACTGCTTAATTTTACAGCACAATACCACAATTGATCCACCAGAAAATGCCAGAGCCTTGGCACCCTGAAAGTATTAAAATTTAGGAAGGAATAAAATATGCTGTAGGTAAATAGTCATGGGGACGTTCAGGGGCTTTTTTGCCTATAAAAGGACTTGTCATTGGAGTGCAGCTAGAATGTGTGGGGTGAGAAAATTTACCCACAAACAAGGCAATAAAAACTGCTAATCATTTTTAAATGATTAAAATGTAATTAGAAACAGAGTTGGCACAAGTTAAGACAATGCAGTTCTTGTGACTGAAGTGAATCAGGGCTAGTCCTGACATTCTCCCAGCAGACTGGAGGGACAGAAATTGCCACACTTACTCAGGCAAGCAAAGGTTCCCAGGCTCCCAGCACGAGATGGGCAAATACCAGCATCCACACACCACAGGGCTCAGAGGTTGGCACCTTCCTGGGCATTAACCCGGAGGGAGAGGCAGCCACGGGGGCCTGGGGACAGGAACACCTCGGTCTCACCTCCTGCCACAAGCACCAGGCACTGACCAGTGGGGACAACCCAGCTTTGAGAGCAGGAGAACACTTCCCTGCTCCTCAGGTGGCTCCTTAATTAGGGTACCTTCCCAAAGTGCACCCCAATAGTCCCAATTGATAGCAGGAGACCTCACTCCATGACCACAGTCTGAGGGTGATGTGGAAGGACTGCATGGCTGGCACATCCCACCATTGAGTGGCTCTCTGGTATGAAAGGAGGCCCTGAATGTTCCTCCATGATCTACAGAATTATATTTTAGAATTTAATTTGCCTTTTGTGTTTTTTTCCCCCCCACAGCAGCAGAATTGGAGGTCTCTTCACTCCAGTCTTTCTATGCAGAGAATTAAAACATCATGCAGATCTTGAGTTTCAGACCTGGTTAAAAGTGCTTTTAATTCAATTTCCCTCAAAAGCTTTGGCTTTTAGTGCCTACTTAGCACTTGGAAATAAGTTCCTAAATATTCAGCACCCTTTCTCCTTTCCCTGAAAGAATTTTAAAATTCCCAGGAGCTTCTCCAAACCACTCAGAAACCCTCCAGCTCCCAGCAAGGCTCTGTGCAAGAGCAGGGAATGCCAGGAGGACAAGGATTCATCTTTGCTGTTCTTCCACAACACATCTCCCCAGGTGAGGCCAGGAGCCACGGCTCGGACACAATTCCATGTTGGCCCACAGGAAAATCCTACAAAAATTTATTTGTGGGGTTTGCTTGTTTTTAAAACCAGTAGTCCTTGGTAGTAATGCAGCCTCCCAGCATTTCCAGCTCCCGCTCCCCATCTCCGAGCTCCCGCTGCTGTTGCCACCGTCATGGCTCATTCCTGAGCCCCTCACCATCTCTATCCTTCTCCTCCCCAGCCCACCACCACTCCCAGAGTTTATTGCTGCCTTTCTCCTCACCCCAACCCTCTGGGGACCTGCTGCTCTCCTGTCTCCTTGCTCCCCATCCTCCTCCTCCTCTTCCCTTCCTCGTGCCCGAGGATCTCTGCCTGGGCCCACAGGACGAGGCCTCCTCACCCCAACCCGGCCCTGGCCGTGCCCAGCCTGGCGCGGTGGCCGGAGCGTCCCCGTGCAGGAGCCCTGCTTTGTGTATCCTGGGACAATGAACAATGAGGAATTAGGGGCACGTGGCCAGCACCAAGGAGACTTTGGCTGCCAGGCCCCAACAAGTCGCCAGCGAGGCCGGGTGGGAGATGTGGCACAAGGTCCCAGCGAGGTGGGATCCCTCCCACCAGCGACGCCATCAGGACAGCCCCTGCCCCAAACAGGCTCCTCACCCTGCAGCGTGGAGGTGTGGGACCCCCTAGCCAAAACAGCTGTAGGATCTTATTTTACACAGACAAAACCCATATTTTACTCCAACCTCATTCTCAGAAATCACTGAACCATTTTAGCTGAAACTTTCCAAAGAAAGTCAGCCTGAGGCTGACACCCTGCAAAGGATATTTCAGCCAGAACAGTTTAAGTTTGGCAAAGCTGTAAGCCACTGAAGGTTTCATAATGGAAATTGTTGAGGCAATATTAACTATAGATGTCCCTCCCCATGCTGCCTACAATACTAATAAATTCCACTGAGGTTGTGAATTCTCCCCAGCTATTAACATTTTCACCAACAGTGTAGATTTTTATATCTGACAAAACACAATGAAATCCTTTGAAATAAACAGCTACCTGAAGCAAACCTCAGCTTCGCTCTCCTACCACAGCCAGGACTCTCTTACACATTTGAATTCTTTGTCTCCTCCGTGCCGTAGCTGTAGTACACTATAAATACCCAGCTTTGTCACATAAATGCAAAGTTTTATTGTGCAGTTAGCCTTGATAGAAAGCACTGCTGAAAGTTGTTTAGAAATTAAATATCTAAAACAAGCTATTTTAAAATACAGAGCCCTCACTATTTCATGTCTGAAATGAAGAAATTTCATCTTAGGGAGAGCAAGCTGTCTTTCACACCATATGGCTAATGGTAGTGCATAGCAATTAGCTGGGCTGATTAATGGGGAACAGACTCTAATTTTATGCTTATAATTGAGGCTGCATTTGCACCCCTGGTGCAAATTCAGCACATCCCAACTTCCACTTACAACAGGCAAGAAATCAAGAGAAACAGAATGGTGTGGAGAGAGAATTTTTTCCCATTCCAGACCCCTAAAGAGCATCAGATTTGCAATTTAAAAGCGTGTTAGCAGCACAATAGATGACAGATTTGTGCAATAGGGTCAAGCGGCCTGGTAAACAAACAGCACCCTCTTACACACGTATGGGCAGCAAAGGAAATGGGAAATATCTAATATGAGCCATAAGAAATTTGAATATGTCTCCCTCACCCCATCAGGAACACAACATTTGCCTGCTACAGTCAGTTTGGGTTTTTTCTACCCCTCCACCTTATGGCCATGAAACACAAAGCAAGGGCTAGCAGTAAATAAATAGGAGGAGAAGAATAAAGCTTCTGAGCCAGAGAATTTTAAGAACAAAGAAAGTGCAAAGTGCTTTAATAAAGGGAATGACTGTGCATCTTTCCACATTCCCAGAACAGAAATAATTTTGTCTCAGTCACAGTATATTGAATGGCTATAAATCTGTGATGTGGGCATTTGGTCTTCTGGTTAAAACTCAGCCCACTATATAAAGTTTTCATTTGCTTCTTACACTTTATGTTTCTGAACTATCTGTAAGGAAATTAATTCTTTAAAGTAGTGGATTCTGGCTCAGTGAGTCATTCCTACCACCAAACCTTGCTGGTTAAGGATCAGGACACATCACCCAGGACTAACGGCAGATTCAGACCCTGACACTGCAGGCACTTGAACTTGTGCTTAATTTTACTCATGTGCCCAGTCCCACTGTTTTACTGGTCTGTTACAGGAGAAAAGTAAAAGGCACTTGAGTCTTATCAGGTCAGGGGCCTCCTTTAATATTTCCATGAATTGTTCCTAGCTAGGTATCCAGTGTGAAAGTCGTGCTAATTGGGCCAATGAATTTTAGGACAATTACAAGTTGTCAACATGACTGGGATTCCATTTGAAAAGGCAGAAGTGGCCTGGAGTCCACAGCAAAGCAACGAGGCTCCCAATGGCAGCAGAGGCTCAGGCACCTCTTGGAGCTGCTGATTGTTCTGCAGCTGCAAACCAATGGTTTTGGTTTCCTGAAAGAAGCAGCCTAGAAAAGCAAGACATGAAAACTAAAATCCCCCGAAATCCTGCTGCAAGGAAGAATTTGAGGCAGGGGCTGTGCAGGGTTTCACCCAAGCTGGCAGGGCAAGGAGAGCAACTCCTCTGCCTTCATCACAGGGTGCTACACACCAGCAGGGATTTAGCAGGAGGAGCTGTCAGTGGAGGACAAAACATGCAGATCCCAAGAATTAAAAAAAAAAAAAAAAAAAAGTGCAGGGTTTCACCCAAGCTGGCAGGGCAAGGAGAGCAACTCCTCTGCCTTCATCACAGGGTGCTACACACCAGCAGGGATTTAGCAGGAGGAGCTGTCAGTGGAGGACAAAACATGCGGATCCCAAGAATTTAAAAAAAAAAATAAAAAAAATCAACCAACAGAGAAGTTTCCATCTGAGTATTTTGTCAAAGACTCTCCCCTGCCAGGAAACCCTCATCCAAGTTTATTCTTTTAGAAGTGGGTACTAGTTTTTACCCTCAAGTTACTCCTTTTTAGTAAATGTGTTTTGTAAAAGTTACAACGCATGCAATGGCATTTTTACAGTCTTAAAACAACTGATTGTAACAATGAGCTTATGCAAGAACGCCTCGTCTTCCACCAGGGAATTATTTTCTGCCATCGAATAACATGTAACAAATTATTTTTTCAGACATGCAAAAAACACCCACTAACTTTAATGAGACTCAGAGGTCAAGCTCTCTGAGGTGGAGAAGGGGTCTGTGGTAAAAGGGAAGTAGAGGAAGCTTCACCTACTTCAACCAGCCAGAACAGAGAAGAAAGCAGCTGCAGAAGTTTGGGGGAGAAGATATTTGATTGAATTAAAGTCACCAACCCCAGGCAGGGCAAGAAAGCACTGGGCAGACCCAAATCTGCATGGGGAAATTTAAAGAAAATCAAGACGGCATCTTTTGCACAGAGAAGTTTCAGCTGCTCTGCTCCAGCTGAGGGAGGACCTCACATGAGCAGCAACCAGGACAAAAGAACCTCCCAACCTCACTCCTTAATGCACATCCAGGGAAAAAAAAATACTATTTTGTCATTTTTCCAAGGAGTTTTTGTTGGGAATTGGGGGCAGAGACGTTTATTGCTACAAGACTATAATAGACTGTTAATTTCGGTGAGGAGACCTTTTGTGGGCTACAGTGTCTAAATGAAAACCAGCAGCATTCTGTTAAGAATAACTCTTTATAAATAATTGAAAACTAGTGTGACAACTGAGACCTTGCTGCTAATTACACACACCAAACTGTGTTATTTTGGGATTGTTTAATGCAAGAAAGATAAATTTAAGTCCAAAAATAGCTGTAGGTTCAACCTAGATTTGGGGATACAGATTCATCTTCTCATCACTAATTAACTGGAAGAGGGATATTTCTTACCTGCACATTATTTCATGCGTGAGCAGAACTCGGCACATTTCTGGGTTCTTGTCTTGGCCTTCATATACTATTGCCTAGAAACAAAACACGTTTTTAGTTGTACATAAGGTTGAGTTTGGAGAAAATCAAAACATGTCATGGTAAGCAAAGGCTCAGCAAGTTACAAACCACAGCTCAGGCTAAAGAGAGCTGGCATCTCCACCAAACCTGCTCCAAGACCTGCAGTTGTAAAACAACACAAGCTGAGTACAGCTAAATTCCCTCCTCTCTGTTGCACATCTCTCCAGCAGTGTGTAGGATGGGTTTTTTTAGTAGTCAAGACAACCACAATTTTCTTTTCAATTCAGAATAAAATATAAACCTAATAGCATTAAAAGGAAGGGGGGGGAGGAAAGAAAGAAAGAAAAAAAAAACAGCAATTTTTAATTACAAAAGCTGCACAGCCCAGGCATTTTCCTGGTAGCTCCTGAGAAAGCGCCTGGGCCTGATTCTTCCCTTGAACCTCCTGATCCAGCTCTTTCCAGAGAGCACCTCCGGAGTTACAGGGATATAAATAAGTGAGGAGAAGGCCCTACCCGCGCAGAAGAGACCAAAACAAACAGAGGATCAACCAGCTTGAGAAATTTGACTCTGAGACAGCACAGAGAGAATCCTTTAAGCTAAAACTGTGGAAAGGCAGAATGTTCACATTTCAAGAGGAGTCTACGTTTGCTCCCATCAGCAGCACGGGATCGGCGTTACCCGCGAGCTGGGTTAGTGCTCACAGCCCCTGTGGGCCAGGATTTCCATCTCAGCCCCACAGAGTCATGTTTTCCAGCCACCCCTGCTCCCAGGCACCAGCCCCCCAGCAACAAAACAAGAGTGGAGTTTCCCTTGCAACAGCATCTTTTGCTGGCACTGAGGTTTCTAAATCTTTTAGGGTGGCACTCCAGAGCTGGGATCGGAGCCCCAGGCTTGGAGAGATGACCACCCCTGCATCTGAGCATCAGCACTACCCTTGAGCTTGGTGTGACCTTTTCAGCCTCTAAAGCACAGAATTTAAAACAAGAAATTGTGGGAAAAATCTCAGCAGGTAAAATGATATCTAAGATGGGTCTCCCTAGAGCTAACGACAAAATAGAGACTGAAATTTAAGAAGTGTGCTCTATGGTTTAAACACATTTTAAGGAATGAGATCAATTTGAAATGGAAGCATGGAAAATACTGACAGAAAAGCAAGTTACCTGAATATAGAACAAACTGTTTTTCCATTCCTTACAAATGAAACCCACAAAGGGTAAGAGGTACTTCCAGAAGGGGCACAAATCTCAAGACACACAATTCTGAAGAAGTATGCACTGACCCTTACACAATTTAAATAGCAACATGCAATATTAATATCATGCATTATAAAATTCCTCAATATTGCCATAAATAATATCAGGAATAGGCCTGTGTTACCTTTGGTAGTTTTAATTTTTTAACTTCAGTTTTGCTACAAGACTTCACCGAAAACCTGAGAGCCTCTGTGCTGGAGTTTTATAGCTGATAAAACAGAGGCTGCCGCTAATTGCCACTAATGGGCACAGAGCCTCACCTGGCTTCTGCCCCCTCCTTTCCCCCAGTGAGGGACAACAGCTGTGAACCCAGCACTGGGAAAAAGGGGATGCACAGAAAGTCCCCCCAGCACAGACACCAGCAACCCCCTGACCTCAGGTGGAACTCCCACCTTGAGCTACTTCCACATCAGTGCCCAAGACAGATACAGATGGTTTGCAAGAAGCCTTGGAAAATGGAATTATATAGATTACAGCAGGAGATGGGACAAATTCAGAAGAGCCTCATTCCCAGCAATAAAGGGGAAGATGGGGAGAAGCTTCTCCCAGGCAAAGGGAGAGAACTGAAGTTACTGGCTGACACCTGGTGGGGTCAGTCAGCGGGGACATTGCAAAGACTCCAGAAAACCCCAGATCAGGTTCCACCTGGCAGTGGGACAGGCCAGGCAAGGAGGAAGCTCATGGCACTTCTTGGACTTCATCAACAGTTAAAAAATAATCTCCCTCTGAGAATGTAGAGCAGGAGGAAAAAGAGCAGATTTACTTCTGAGGCCTTTAGTGGGGACAAACACCTCCAGCCCCGTGTCACCTCCAGGCAATCACAACGTGACATGAGAGGAGAGGGTTGCTGGACTCAGCTTGTTCTTCTCATACTTCCAAATATTAAAATAAATTTACCCAGGATGGGTTAGCTTGTTGCCAGTGGAGCCAATGAAGTGCTAGAAACGACAAGCCAGAACGCAAAATTTACTTTCCTTTTTCCCCCTGCCCTTTCTCCTCCTCTCCCCTTCCTGCTGCTGTGCTTACTTAACCTCCAGGTAGCTGCTTAAATAACTCAACTAAATAGCAATAATGAACGGGCAGAGTCAACACTGTGGTACATAATCACCTTGTCTGTTGTGTTTAGCATCAGTGATCCCTTCTTTGCGTGCATGACATTCTTCTGCCTCCCTCCACGTTAAGGATTTGCTTCTCACTTTATTTGCATTCAATTATCGAAGTTGCACCCGTGCACATTTTGTTTGCTCCGCGTCAAGCGCGGCTCCTCTTGCCTTCCCTATTCCTGCAGGAATTCCTAGGAAATTCTGGGAAGAGGGAGGACAGGCTGGGCTCATTTCTGAGCAGCTCATCCCCATCTCCCCACTCCTGTGTCCCAATTTACTTGTGTGAAGCACCAACTGCTTGCCCCCATGAATGGCTGCCCGAGAGCCCTGCAGATACTCGACCGCCTCGCGAACCGCGCCGCTCTGAAGCATTAATTCTACAATTAGTTTCAAAAAGGAAACAGGAACTGCTAAAGTTTCAGATCGTTAGAGCTGCCAGAAGTATTTTTACAGGAAGGGTCTACTACGTTACTGTTGTGAAAATGTTTAACTCTCGGATTTGAAAAGCTGTTCTTTTTAACAAAAATATCTTGATTTTTTAAAATAAATTGAGCAGTTTTTAAGTTCAGGTTTTGAAACAGGGAGATTGCATCAGGGTTCCCTGTCGCATTAACGTCGTCGTGATTTTGTCAAATAGGGATCACATTAATGAGGGACAAAGTGAAAGTTACAGTGCATAAACTTAGACCACAGCAGAGCTAAAAATAAGCCCGCAGATACACATCAGAGTTGCACAACAAAACACCGGCAAAGGAAATGCAAAATTATAGACTTTGGGGTTTTTTTCTTTTTGTTTACTTCATGTCGTTTTAACTCGCTGGTAATTCATAAGCACTTGAAAACAGCATTTCTTCTCCTGAACAACTTAAACATTTCCTCACAAAATTTATCTTCCATTTTGCCAGCTGTTACTCACCCAAGAAACCTTACTGCAAGAAGTCCCAGTGAGTAACAGTCACTCATGCACAAACGGACCTCAAAATCCGGCCCCGAAAAATTTGTGTCAAAAATATAAGACTTCCTCACTTCTATTTAAATAAAGCTGCATAAAAAGTTACATCAAATTCAATTCACTGCTTAATAGCAAATAAAAATTACTGCATTGAGTGCATCACAGTCAAGTACATCCAAAAATTCACCTAAACTTTTCAGGGACAAACTTCATTATTTTAAAAAATTATAAGAAATAAAAAATAAAAAGGAATGGGGGCGATATACAAGTCAAGGCTACAGTTCTCATTTAATCTACTTTTCCCCCAGTAGACGCAGTAAAATAAAGCAATAAAATAATCTACAAACAAGCTGGAAAAATACAGAGACTGATTTTGTTCTTAACCATTCCTGAATAAATCCAGATTTATGCTGGTACAAGTGAGGGCAGAATCGTCTCATGGTGTCAGTTTGCCAGTCAAGCAATCCTGCTTTCAGAACTGGACGAAAAACAATCTTGAAGGAATGAGATCATGGTCATTATATTACTCAGTTATGTCATGGCCTTGATTTTAAAAGAGTAAGAGAAGGAGAGAAATCACCAATGTGCATCTAAATCCACTTGCTTTCAGATTCCATCTGCCTCACAAAACAAAGTATCTCCCTTACCGAAATAAAAGAGAAGGGAAAACTCATTAAAATTAGGGCCTTTTCCAAAACAGAACTAAAATGATTTGGAATGACGTTTACAGCTGTACACACAGAGAGAAAATAAAATCCTGGCCCCACCGAATTCAATAGGCGCTTTGCAATTGACTTCAGATGGGCCAGAATTTCACCCAGAGAGGATTAGGCTTGTATCCACTGTATATCTACAGAGAAAATACTGTGAATTACATTTATTTGGCTTTGAGTCCTTAACCCTCAATTACCCGAGGTTTTACCCCTTCCCCAGGCAAAACCTTGACTCGTCCCAGGGAGGTTTATCCCGGACGAGCAGCGCGGAGCTGGTCCCGGGGCGAGGACAGGGAGTTCTTGCTCTGCCTCTCCACACACTATTCAGAAACATCTAATTATTTTATCCAGTCTCCTTCTGCCTTTGATTCACAGCCTGCTTATCGACGTATTCACACAAATTAAATAAATTTATCTCTCCTAATATGTTCATTTTTAATGGTTTTCAAACATTCACATGGAAACAGCTCTAGCGTAAATATCCCAGAACAAATGGCTGTATATTATACAGGAGGGAGCAGTTGGGCTGCCAGACTGGGAATGCACCAGGCCATCTGGCTCAGGCAGTCTCTCCAAAATCCTCAGCTTTGTTTTCACCCTCAGACTCCAAACAACACATTTTCCACTGTGATGAGTTTACATTTTCCCAAACACAGGTCCTGATCATGCATGCAAATTCCAAACTTCTCCATTCCTCTCTGTACAAGGAAATTAAAATCACCTGCGCTTCTGACATCTCACCAAAGGCACAAGAAAGCTGCTAAAATCTGGTGCAATGTAAACTTTCCCCGTCACAGGGGTTAGGTTTTGTTTTATGTTTGTGTGAAATTTCTCCGAGTCTGCTGAGGCTCCTCTGAACTTATTGATAACATTTTTTTTTCCCATGCGTGTAGCTGCCAGAGAAGGGCCATGCCATGCACAGAATAGAGCTGATCAAATATCTGCAGACATCAGAGAATGACAGACAAGTCAACAGAAAAACCATTTGCATCCAGAGTTATAGCTCTTGAAAAAAAAATCCAAATATAAACAGGGTTTAAGTCTGAAGGAAGGATTTTTGACTCATGAGTTTTCTCAGCAATAGACAATAGCCATCGAGCAAAACTTATGATTCTTGAGATGCCTGAACCATATTAGCATCCGTTATATCTTATGGATGAGAACAACTGAAGGAAAAATGGGTGGGGAACAAGTATTTCAGATTTATTTCCTCCATCTTTCCTAATAGTGAAATACCTCAACTTTATGAAAATACAGCCAAAGAAATAGAAGGCATCTCTTCTCCACAAACATATTAAAATCCCTTGACTTGCCTAAAAACTCCAGTTTCATTAGAGCAGACATATTTCACGTTCTGCAGGCGATTTCAAAATGCATCATTGTTAGAGGCAGATCTTCTGCGGGAGGAGCTGCTGCCTTACGGAAAGCAACAGCAATAAAGTTTGGGGTCCTACAGGGTTTTGAGCGCATTAGGAATGTGATCCTGACATAAAATGAGGTGCCAGTATAACATAAAAGAAAATTTAATTAAGCCAGTATTGACACCGAATGTTGTTGCCTGAACTGGAAAGAACTTCTCTGCCACAGGAATTATTTGTGTGTAACATTTATCGTTTTTAAGTGACGGGGACACGTTTCAGAAACTTAGCGAGATCCCAAAAACCACGTAATTCCCATTTCACCCAGTGCTTCTCTGGGGCCACCACCAAAGGCCAAGCACAATGCCCCAAACACACCCCAAAATGAGGCACTCTGAGACCAGTCCTGGCTGGGTTTCCCACTTGGAAGTCCCACCGCTCTCCTAATTCCCCGTTTCCCAAGGAATGCCTGTGCAGCCCGAGCTCCTGCTCGGGGCAGCGCGTGCAGAACTGAACCCACAGCCAGCTCTGCCCTGGGATGCAGCTCCCAACACAACTCTTGGCTGCCTCAGAAGTGCCACTCTCCAGCCCCACTTCCCATCCTGCTCCAAGCTGACAGAGAAGCACACACGCACCAGGACACGGAGATCCCTCTGCTCCACCCGGTACACGACTCTTGCTACGAGTTTCTTAGCTGGGCACAGCCACACAAACAAATCCCTGACTCAGGCAGAGCAGGAGCACTCAGGAGCAGGAACATCTCCTCTTTAGAACATTCACAGTCCCCAGCATAGCCAAGCCCTGCCTACCTACTGCTATAATACATGCTGCTAATGGGACATCCACATTAAATCTCTGAGCAGCAGTCCTATGCACAGAAATCCAGCTCTGATTTGCAGAAGGGCTTTTATTTGATCTTACCTAACTTAATAATCCTCAACCGTACAAAACCTTGCAATTTGTAACTGTGACACAAAGAGAATATATTTAAATCTGATGTGTCCATATTAAAAAATAATAATAAAAAATTAATATTTTTTAAAAAGCCACAGATACTTTCCTGTATGATCTGGGGAACCTAACTCATTCAAGCTTTGCTTCTGTGGGATTTTTAATTTGCCACCAGAAATCTCAGAGTGGCTGTAATTTCAGTCTGGGAATTCACAATTATCGAGTGTGTGAATGTGTGTGTGTGTGAGGACTGAGCAGATACTTGCCAGCTGAAACGTGTATGCTTCTGCAACAGTTTCATTTAAAAGTAATCATTTCATTATCCAATTTGTTCTGAGCGTCATGCATTAAAATACTACACCTTCAAGTAGACTGACAATATATATTTAACTTTCATTAAAAATTAAAGAATTTTCAGACAGTCTTTGCAATATTTAATTACAGTTTGATGATTTGAAAGTTACTTGAGAATCTTCTATATAATTCACTGTCATAAAATATAAATGATATATTCAACATTTGGGTGAGCTTCTGTCATGTGTTGTACTTCACTTCCTAATAAGCATTCAGTAACCGACGCTATCCCAACTCTGAAATAATTTCACTTTTGAAAAGAAAGAATTAAAAAAGGAGAAGAAGGAGAATTCAGCGTCTGGCCCCTGAAAAAATTCGGAGCGACACATGCCACAGTTTTGACATGACAATGTCCTATTTTTCATAAGCAATTATAGTCATGCCTAAAGAAACTACAGACATGAAATTAATATGTAAGCAAACATGTTTGCATCTAAAACAGCCTTTTGCTCCCCGTTTTCTAATCTAAGCTCAGAGAGCTTTTGTTCTAAAACCCTCGCTTCTCAACCCCACTGCACTTTCCCCAAAATCTGTAATTTGCACCAACTTTGTTTTTCTAAGACTTCCTGAAATCAGACAGATTTTTTTTTCTCCTACTTCTTCATTGTGAACGTGCTTTAAAGCTACACGGTAGGTCTTACAAATAAACTGTATCTCGGGGTTTTCTTTTTCCCCTTTCTCTCCAAAGACCCTCTGATGACTTGATAATAATGAGAGACCAAGAGGTCAAACAGTGCCTTAGGATGAACTCTTCATATGCAAGATGCCTTTGTTAAGAAAATTATTTTGAATCCACTGCTCTCCATGAGTTCAGGGCTCTGTTTTCAACAGGATTATGACCAGAGGCTTCTGCATTTCCGTAACGATAGGAAAGCTATTTAAAGATCATATTTATTGATAGTCTCTCTTACACGATCTACACTGAAATACACAAACTCCAAAAGGACTAAAAAGAGTTCACATATCAGGAAGATTTTGTTACTTTTAACACAAACTAACCAATTTGTGCCTGAAAACCAGGGAATGACAGCAAACGCTTTCCAGGATTTTTTATGAAGAAGGGTATGTGGCTGCTGCTTTAATTCCTACAAGGAACGGGCTCCGTTTGGAAGTGTACAGTATAACAGAGTTCAGATGCACAGTGGATTGTCTAGTAAAATTCACCCAAGTTCCCTTTTCCTTTTTTCTTTTTTTTTTTTTTTTTCTGCTGAAAGACAGTCTTCAATAGCAGGAAAAGATGTTTTGGGACCATCAAAGAGAGTTTTGTAAAACAAACTCAGCCCTTAGAGCTTTATGTTTTGCTGCAGAAAAGAAACCCAAATACAAGCCAAGAGTTTTGTCCCTGCAGACAACACACAAGGACTGACATTTCCTAGCGGTACAAAAAAAAAACCCTTAATGTTTTTCTTAAATAAAATTTAAGAATTTTCTTTAACAACTAAAACAGATTAGGAGGGGAAGAAACATATTCTAAGAATGAAAAGACTTAAAAGCGATCCCAACTATTTAAAATAAACATCTTCTAAGAGAAAAATATTCTGACAGGAGCAGAAAAAGAGCCAGAGTAACAATTAAAAAATAAAGAGAAAAAAAATAGAAAGGAGAGAGAATCGATTTGCTCAGATTGTCGCTTTGTAAAAATACTGCTTTTAAACACAAAAGTATTTTTTACAGGTAGGCACGCACGTTATTACTCTGTTTGGGAGGCTAAAGAACACGCTTAAAATGAGCATTAATCCACTGACAAGCCCTGCTGCCCTCCCCGAGTCCGACACCGAGCTCGCCGCTGCCCGCGCCGCGATTCTGGGGTCTATTCCGACAGGACAACGTGTCGCGACAGAAGCGCAGAGCCGCTCCCCTCCAGCAGCGCGGCCGGACCGCAGAGCCCCGCGCCGGGCAGCGCCTTGTGCCGGCGGCGCTCGGGGCTGCCGGAGGCCGGAGGTTAATTCTTATTAATTAAGCGGCAAAACCATCCGCAGCCCTGAACTGGGACCGCCGGAGGGTCGCGGATATTTTTCTCCCGCAGCCCAGCAGCAGGCAGGGTCCCGCGGGGAGCCCCGCGGCCCCCGGAGCGGGAGGCGGAGGCTCCGTGCCGGCCCCGCCGGGCACCGCGGCCCCGCCGCGGGGGCGGGTTTGGGCTCCCGGGGCCGCCCCGACGGCTGCCACCCCCCGCTCGGCTCGGCAGCACCCACCTGCTTGGTCATGGAGTCGATGAGCCGCACGTAGAAATCCTGCTCCGTCCTGATCCCTGAAACAAGGCACAGCCGTCAGCGGAGCAGCGGGGCCGGCCGGCGGCAGCGCGCCCCAGGGCTCGGGCCCGCCGGGGCCGCCCGTGTCCCGGCAGCGGAGGGGAACCGGGGGAACCCGGGCTCTGCACGACGGGGGGGACTCCCAGCCCTTACCATTGCTGTAGAGCAGCTGCAGGCGGTAGTGGATCCCGTTGTTGGTCTTTTCGCTGTTGGCTTCCTGAAGTCAAAGACGACACGGGAGGCCGGAGGGAAAAAGAAAACAGTGTCAATGGAGCTTCTCCATCACTCGCACGCCGGGTGTCCCCGCGGTTGGTTGGGGCAGCTCTCAGCACTCTCCCCTGCCCAGGGCATAGCGAGGGAGCAGGGGACATCCCCTCCTTGTCTGCCCTCCGGGACAGGGCAAGACTGAGGCGCCCGGGAGGCTGCCGTGGCTCCCGGGACGAGCCGCTGTCGCGGCCCCGAGGGAGCGGAGCGGGGAGGGCCCCGGAGAGGCGGCCGAGCCCCCACGGGGCACCAGGGTACTCACCTTCTCCTTCTCCACGAAGCCCACGAAGGCGGTGCGCTCGATCTCCACGGGCTGCCCCTGCCGGTCGTACAGAGCCAGGACGAAGTGGAAAAAGTTGGACTTCCTCAGGTTGGAAGGCGGCTGCTTCTCGAAGTGAGCCCGGGCCAGACCCACTCCGCTGGGACCAGAGACACGCGGGTTAGCGGCAGCTCCGACCACGCGGCCTCACGTCCCCCCATGCGCCTCCCGAGCCCGTGCCTTCCCCTCCGGGACCCGGCTGGGCCCCCCGGGGCAGAGCATCCCTCCCTCCCCCGAGCCGCCTTGGGGCTTTTCCCTCCGGGCACGGAGAAATAGCCAGCTCCGAGCCCCGCGGAGCCCCGAGCCCGTGCCGTCCTGCGGCCAGCCCGAAGCCCCCAGCAGCCCCCCCAGGCCGGCCCGGTGCCCACCAGCCCTCCCCGGGGGCCGTGGCCGCTCGCAGCCGGCCCTGCATGGCGGGGCAGCCGCGCTCAGAGCCGCCGGCGCGTTGCCCCGCGGAGCAGCATCGCTCCTGCCACTTCTCAAACTCGGCTCGGAGCTGTCACAGCAGCGCCCATGTGCCTTATCTTGCGAGCCTTTCCTCCCGCGCCGGAGCGGTGGGTAAACACCGAGCCCGGGAGACAACTTCAAATATTTCAGGGTTGTCCCTGCAGAAACTTTCCCTTCCTTAGAGGGCTCCAAAGGGGGGGTGCGGGGCGAGGTGGGAGACGCTGGGAGATGTCAACATTAAACTGATGCCGGATGATGCCGGCTCCAGGGCTCAAGCTGCGAATCCAGCATCAGGGTTTGGTTCGTGTTTGGGGTTATTTTTTCGCGGGGAAGAGGATGGGAAGAAGGAGAAATAAGAGAGAAAACGAGGAGGCTGGGCGCAGCTTCGCCAAACCCATCTTATATTTGGAGAGATTTCTTTTTAAAAATCTGAGATAAGTGGCAGTGGTTTTACAAAGGGACTTTAAATTAAATTTCTCCTGGAGTACGCTTTGTAAACTCCCTACTTATCGGAGGAGAAGAAGGGGAGCTGCTGATTCTGACGAGAATATGAAAGCGAGGTAGAGAAATATATTTTGGATACATCCGTGCACAACTCGCTGTTTTCCGGAGGAGGAAAGTGTCATTTGAAGATCTTAAGACTAAATCAGCAGCAAACATAGTTTTGAAAACTCCTTCCTCCGAGCGAACACAAGGAGCCAGAGAGATGAAACCTACCTATCCGCACCTAGCGAAACTCGCCGCTTCCTTTATTGTCGTTATCATTATTTAATAAAAAGTCATTCCTACGGGACAATAGGGATAAATATTTAACTGGCGACATCTACGCGAAACTCACTGCCGGTAGCAGAGCTCCAGAGCCGGGTTTTTGTTGGCGCGGGGGGAAAGGCGCTGCGGGCGGGGAGCGCCCCGGGGCGCGGAGCGGGGCGCGGGCGCGGAGCGGCGCGGAGCCTGCCTACCTCTGAGCGGCCGTGCTGGCGTCCAGGACGCCGGCTCCCTGCATCCACGTCCGCACCGCGTTCATCCCCGCGCCGAGGGGCTCTTCCTTCATGCTGCTCCCACTCCGCTGGATGCTTTCCTGAATCCCAAACATGAATCAGAAACAACAGCGCAAATCTTCTTTCTTTATTCAAAAATTTTTAAAAGTGATAAAATCGCCAGGCGGACTGTTATATGTGGGTTTTTTTTTTTCTTTCTTTCTTTCTCTATTTTTTTTCCTCTCTCTGCAGCTGATCGCTGGAATCAAAGCAAGTCGGAGAAAGCAAACACAGGCACGCACATTAAAAAAAAAAAAAATCCAGAGGCAATCAGAGCCCGGTTTTGTTGCTGCTGTTTGCTGCGTATGCAGTTTGTTTGGGTGCTTGGAGGGGCTGGCGGGGTGCTGGGGGCTGGTTGCAGCGCTCGCAAGCCGGAGGAGTACTTGAAGTCCCTTTTGTATGAAGACACCCCTCGGATGGCAGCAGGCAAAAAAAAAAAAAAATCTCAGATGGCAGTTTAAGAAACAATAGGACGAACGGGAGCTGCGGCAGGCTCTGCTACATCAAGTGTCATTTTCCAGTGACAAGAGAGGCAAGTCCCCCCCCTTCTCCCCTCTCTCTTTTCTTTCTTTCTTTTCTCCCTCTTTCTTCTCTCCTCTCCCAGCCGAAGCGCTCTCCGCTCCTCTCCTCTCTCCTCCCTCCTCCAGCCGCGCAGGAAGCGAGTTGCCGGAGCCGGGCGCACGCCGGGAAGGGAGCGAGAGGGGCGCACCCGCGGCGGCGGCGCGGACGGACGGCCGGAGGGAGACCCTGGGGCTCCCCGTGCCCCCTCCCTGTCCCGCAGCGCCGGGCGGACTCGCCGTCTCTCCCTATGGGAGCCACTTTGACTGTCCCCGCCGCCGAACACGAGCCCCGCAGCCCCGGCGGGCGGGGGGCGGGGCCGCCGCGGGCACGCCCCCTCATTTGCATCGCGTCACCGCCCCGCCCCCGCGCCGCCGCCGCCAATAGGCGCCGACGAAGAGCCGCCGAGGGGGCGGGGGCACGCCTCTCTCATTAGCATGGCCCCGCCCCGCCCCCCGGCGCGGCCGGCCCCGGGGAAAGTTGCCCCGGAGCGGCGGGGGCGGGCCCGGTGCGGAGCGGCCGCGCCTTTGTTCGGCAGCGCCGCGGGCAGCGTCCCGCACAGCCCGCAGCGCTGAGGGCGGCGTGGCCGAGCCCGCCCGGGATCCGCCGGCAGCGCCAGGCTGCCCACCGCGACCGCCCAAAGCCGGGGATGCCCGGTGCCCGAGCCCGGACTGTCCGTCGCTGGGAGCGCGCTCGCCCCGGCTCCGGCCCCGCTCCGGCAGCGAGCGCTGCTCGGCAGCACGAGCGCGCGATTTCCGAGCAGGACAGTTCGCGCTGAAAGTTCTTCTTTCTTTCTTTTTTCTTTTTTTTTTTTTCCTAGGAAGTCCGATTTTTGTTTTCTCAGGGGAAATAATAATTATAATAAAAGCAGTTCCTGCGCTCGCTAGGGAAGAGCCGGGCCGGCTGCGCGGCACCGGGCGGGCGCAGTCCCGCATCTCTCCGCGGGCTCCCGCTGTCCCCGCATCACCCTCCATCCTTGCCCTGCCCGAGCCGCTCCCGTCTCGCCTCTTGCCGCGGCAGGCGCTCTCCGTGCCGGGGGCCTGGGTTATGCCTCCCCAAACACAGGTTTGCCCACCCTTGCACATATAATGAAACAAAACCCTGCGCATCCCGGCACGCCGGGCTCCTCGCCCTCTCCATGGCGATGTCACACCGTGCCAGGGTAACCTCTGAAGTGTCCGGGCTGTCTCTGAGCTGCTGCCCTGCCTCTCCCGAGCAGGGGTGGAGTAGCGGGCGGCTGCTGTCCGCTCCTGCCAGCGCTGCAGAGCCCCGCGGAGGGCAGCGGAGCCCCCCGGCCGCATCCCCCAGCCGGGAGCCAGCCAAGGGCCTGGGAGCAGCCAGTGCAGTCCATCAGCAGCACTCCACAGCACCCGCGGCAGCCCGACAACCAGACAGGACCCTGTCCCAACCACCTGTACATCACTTTGTGTGGCACAGCCCCTGAGCCCACAGCTAAGCCTCGGGAAGAGAGCTCGGACTCCAGAGCAGGCACAGAGCCCGCTGCCAGCCCCTCGCTGGCGCTGAGAAACTGCCCCCAATCTTGGCTTTAGGAGAGTCCACACACAAAACATCCACATCCCCAGCATTCTGCATCCTCACAGAGGAACTGTCACGGACAGCAAGTTTTCTCATTCCCTGAAGATGCCATTTGAATCTTGACACGGTGCTGCCGTGTCACATCTCAGGGAGATGTGGAAGAACACGGACACACAGCCACACGTGAATATTTACTCCATAGGTACGGCACAGGAGCAGTTTGGCTCCTGCAGAGCTCGGGCTTATTGGGCTTCCCCCGGCTGCTGCTGTTTCAGTTGTATCATATCCAGCCTAAATGCCTCCATGGTGAGATACATTCTGCAATTAAAAGCTATTTGCACCTGCACTGATTGCTCCTTTCCCAGGGCAGGGATCTGCCCGGGGAGGAATAATGCATTTGAATCAATATACTGAGCAGTTGGCAGATTTCGCCCTTCAAATCTGTTCGGGGGATCAGGGGAACGTTTCCACGCCTTTTCCAGGATGCTAAAGGGAAAAGCATCCCAGCTGCCGTCTGAGGGCACCTCCACCGGGCAGGGGCAGCCAGCCACGACTCTAACAGTGACAAGTTCTCCCGTTTTCCTCCTTACACAAGACCTGTGCCTCTGTGCCCAGCACGGGGAGCTCCAGCTGAAGGCTGGCAGGGAGATGCCCTGGGGTATCTCCCTGGGTATTCTCACAGCCACTAAAAAATTGCTGTAAGGATGAAAGAGCTAAACACTGGCTCGACCCTCACAGGAGGAGTGTGAAAGGAAAGCAGAAGGGAAACAGGGAGGGAGTGAGAAAGTCAGGATTTTGCAGAAAAAAAAAGAAAAAAAAAAAGCAAGAGAGCTGTCAGAAAGCAAGGAGACTTCTGTGCTCCATCCACCCTGCAGAGGCCAGCCCTGGAGCACTGGGGCTTTGATTTGAAAGAATTCCCAGTTGCCTTTAGCATTCCCCTTCTGCCCCCTGCCCGGTTCTGCTCTCTGGACCAGCACCAGCCCATTTGGACTGCAGCAGCACACAGATCACTGCCAGGCCCGCTGTGAGGCTGGAGCATATTCCTGTGAGAAGCTGGGTCCATCCTCCCCTCAGCATGGCAAACAGAGCTGGAGGACACTGCACAGCCTGCTGTGGGGAAACCCTCAGTGCTGGGACTCAGCACCTCACTCCTCTGCTGCAGGAGCAAACTGGGGCACGCTGCAGGGAGGCTTCCCTGCAAGCCCGAGTTAAATGCTCTTTACAAAAATAAAACACACACACACAGACTTGCAGGCTGTGATTTGCTCCCAGAGGTGAGGAAGCTCCCAAAGTGAGCTGGATTTTGGCCAGCAGCACAAAGCCAGGAGCTGGGACTTTGCAGCACAGGCAGCTCACAGACAGCACTGGGACATGGGCACAGTGTCCCTGGTCATGACAGAGAGCAGGGGAGGGAAGGGCTGGCCCTATGTAGGAACAGACAGGGTTCCTGGGGAACCAGTGGTTTTGAGGCCTATGGAAGCAGGGGAGGGAAAGGCTGGCCCTGGCTTGCTCGTCCTATGTAGGAACAAACAGGGTTCCTGGGGAACCAGTGGTTTTGAGGCCTTTGCACAAGGGGGCCATGAAGGATACCTCACTCTGGAGGATAAACATAACTTGTGTGAGGGAGGACACAGAGGACCCAGAGCACAGGAGTCTCTCTTGCTTAGGGGAAGGCCTCTCCCCTGCCTTGGCACCATTTCCAAGTGAGCCCAAGGCTCCTCTCACTTCTGACCTGGAGTTCATCCAGGACAACTCCCTCCTGCTGCCTCCAGTCCCTCCTCTCCTGCCCTGGGGCTCCCAGCACTGTGGGGACAGTCAGGCCTTGCTTCCCTCTGCCCAGACCCCAGGGGAGGGAAGGAGTAGCTGGAAGTGGGGATTTCTGACAGAAAAGCCTTCTGGTTCCTCATCCCTGACCTTTGCAGCTGGATCAGGCCCCCCCAGAGGGACCGTGATCCTTCCTGCCCTTCTTGGGAGAAAACAGAGGAACACCTGACCTGACCCGTGACAATGGGGCAGAGGGAACAGCAGCCTCTCCTCTCTAGGTGGGACTGAAAGCAGAGTTGAGCTCTTGACTGCACTTTTCCAAGGGTTTGGAAAGAGTTCACTCCTATTTTCTCCAATGAAAATGCTTTCCATAAGTGTTTTCCTTACGGGCTCCTGTGTCGATCCAAAGACTCGCCACCCGCAGATAAATCCAGTGTCTGCCTCGGCAGGTGATGGCACTGTTCACCTGCTTGGGGGGCTTTATTCTTCCTACCTGGATAGCTCCTGAGAAAAATATGATAAAAGGCTCAGAGAACTGGGAATTGGGATAAAATCCTCTGACTGAATAGAACAGTCCTGCTCAGGAGAGAGCCTGGGTGTCTCTGGGACCAGCAGAGGACCTGTCCACAGCACAATGGTGACAGCACCCCGCTTTCACCCCTGCTACGAGGAACAAGCAGTAGCAGGTGACCCAGATGGAAAGGTTTCATGGAGGAACTTTCCTCCTCCTGCCTCCCTTGGGGTTACCCCTGGCTGGGATGGGGTGTCGGGGCTCAGTCCTGCGGGGGGGAAGCAGCGAGTGCTGAGCGGAGCGATTCCTTCAAGGGCCGGGGAAAGGGGGAACCCTGAGGGCGGGGGATGTCGGGCAGCAGCGAGAGGCCGGCCGAGAGAACTCCCCAGAGGGAGGATGGGAGGATGTGCCCCCCAAAGCTCAGCGCCCCCCATCATTGCCCAGGACAGGAGCCCCCCACGGCAACACCCCGGGGGCACGGGGCGAGCGGAGCTGCGAAATTGCGCGGGGGCCGTGCCCCCACGGGGCTGCACGGAGGAGAGGGAAGCCCGGGGAGGGGATGGGGGGTCGGGGCGGGTCCCCCCGGTGGAACCGAGACCCCGGGGTTGGGGGGGGGGGCAGGGCCGGGGCGGCCG